AACTTGCGCCCACCTAACTCAGAGATAGGGGGAGGCTACAGTGAAGAAACAACCTAGTCTGCAGTGAGCGACTTAAAAGATGCACGGAGAACACGCTGCAGTTCACCTGAGTTCTGACTGACGCCCTTTACTTACAAGCTCATGACACAGTCCGGATGAGTGCTGTGGTCCACACACATTAAGAACTTCACAGGTCTAAAGGAGGAAAACAGTCCTTAGGAGATTTCCCAAATAACATTCACCCATTAAACACTCATGGTTTGTCTGAAAAGCGCTGGAAACACAAAACGCATCCCTGAAGATCGCACAAGCAACTCCTTTATAAACAATACTAGGTAGGCTGGGAGTGGTGCACACCTTTCAATCCCAACACTAGGGAGGAAGGCAGAGTCAGAGAGATCTCTATAAATCTGAGGTCAGCCTAGTCTACACAGAGAGTCTCAGGACAGGCAGGGCTACACAGTGAGACCCTTTCTCAACACCCTTCTCACTAAAGCTAGCATTTATCAAGCTCTTACTAAGTATCAGAAATTTTGTTTGTGTGTTTTATTCAGATTGTGTTGTTCAACCATTCAACCATCCAATGGAGTTGATCTTATTTTCAACTGCAATTTGTTGCAGCTAAAACTGCCCACAGTGATCCTCCCACATTCTCACAACATGGGAAACATCGTGAGTTAGCACGCTAACCTTGAACCTTTAAGGTCATCCAGACCCTTTCTGCCTGCACATCCTTCTTCATTAGGAAAACCTTTTCAATGTGTGCTTTGGACAGAAGGTTGGACCTAAAACACATGAGGGATGATGGCCATGCTCTGGCTCCAGCGAAGAACGCTCAATTGCCTAGCATAACCAAGCCAGAAAATTTGAAGTTCGGGGGCACCCAAGAGGTAAGGCAAACAGCAAAGGAAAGAGGAGCAGGCAACAGTGACACCGAAGTCATGAATTATGAGGCAGGCTAAGGGAATGCCTCCATCCAGATGACTAGAAAGAGTTGAGAGAAGTGCCTGCCCTGCGATTCCCACGTAGACTCATCTACCCCACAAGGAAGTCTACTGTACATACATACATTTTATTAGTAGTGGGTTTTATGGTATTGCCTCACTATGCCGCCTAGGCAGGTCTTAAAACACTTCCTGGGCGCTAGGCATCCTCCCACCTTAGCTTCATGGGTGCCTGGGACAACAGAAGTGATCAGTCAATACATATTTATAAAAACTAATAGTTGTTATTGTCTTTTACCAAAGACAGGCATTGGATCTCATCAAGTCTGATCCAGTGTGGTATTAGCAGGTCCAACCAGGAGGAGCGAGTCTTGGTGGGTTGATAAGGCTCCACCAAGAACCCTGATATGAACTCCAGCTGACACAGGACAAAAGGTGACTCCCCTGAATTCTGGGGGCTGGGAGACCCTTCCCTACATTTATGTTGACCTTTGTGTGGTTAGCCTTTGCGATTTTGCTTCTTTGCTACCCGGGAGCAATAGAAAAACCTTAACAGAATAGCAGCCAGCAGGAGCTAAGGGAAGCTTGGAGCCCAAGAACCAGCAGAGAGCTGAAGTGGGGATCACAGGAGAGAGAAAGAAAAAGGCTGGGACCCAGAACAGCTGTGATGGGGAGGAGGCTTCTGGGCCTGGCCTGACTGACACAGCATGGCCCCGTGATTGGAGAAAGAGACTTTCTAGAGAGTTCTTGTGCCAGAGAAAAGAGGTGGTAACTCTGAAATCTGTAGCCACAGCTGTCTCTATCACTGAGCTGTGATACAGTAAGAATTGTCTGTTTAGATGTGTTTTTAATAACAGTGCTTTGACTCAGGAAGGAACATTACTAGGGGGTGCTGGAGGATATATGCTTCAAGGCTACACCAAGTTGGGTTCAAAACCCAACTTTGACCTTGGACCAGTCATTTAACCTCTGTGGCTCATCTGAAAACAGACAAGTTTTATAACCCGAAGACAGATAAAACTACTTCATGACACTACAAATCTAGCCAGTGATTATCACAGAAGCAGACACCTGTGCCAATAGGGAGTCTGGCGGACACCCAGGTACCCAGTTGTATTCTTCTACTTCATCCCTGAGGGCTGCAGCAGACTGAACTTGATCATGCAACGTTGTATGTAAATCTGTAATTTTCCTGTATGTGGGCCAGATGTCCAGAAGGGTGTATTTGCTTAGTTTTACTTTTCAAAGCGGATGGTGGATAGCGCCTAAACTTTGCATTTGTGTGAGCATGAGCAATAATGAGCAAAAAGGCCTGGAACAGGGATGGCATGACCAGAGGTTTCAGGCTCTTAGGAGAAAGACAGTGCTCATACAACTCTATGCTCCTGGTGCCATCTCCAGGACACCCAGCACACCCAATAGTGTCTAAGAAAGCCTGTCAAGGTTGAGCTTGAGCCCCTGGAAAACCATTAGGCTTGAACGCTCAAGAGCTGGGGTTGGTGGTGCGCACACTTACTCTCAGCACCCAGGAGGCAGAGGCAGGTGGAGTTCAAGGTCACCCTGGTCTACAAAGTGAGTTCCAGGACAGCCAGGGCTATATAGAGAAACCCTGTCTTAGAGAGAGGGGGAGGGGGGAGATGGGTTAGAGAGGAATGGAGACAGGGATTCTGAGTTCAGGGGAGGATCACACCTACCCCAGGCTTAGAGCCAAGATTTGCTAATGCCTGTGTAGGAAGGCCCTCGATGACACCTGAGGCAAAGCATACAAAGTGTGGGTCACAGTGTCTCAACAAACAGTAGCTGTTATGATTTTTCATACTGTCTATGGCCAAGACCCATCTATCAAGTGCTCATCTCAGGAGTTTCTGTCCTGTGTTCTAAGATACGGAAACCACAGCCCTTGATCTCCAATTCCATCACACATCCACCGAGGCTGGATAATAAGTAAATGATAAATTTCTGCTTTTAACATCCCCCAACTGTCCTTAAAAGGGACTCAGAAAGGTTCTTCCTGCCCACACATCCATAGGCAACCCAGAAGTGGCAACCCTGGCCTTTGGAGCGGATTCCTGTGAAACCAACCCTTTGAATCGCTTTACTCTTTCAAAGTGGTCATACATAGCGCCACCTACCGGTAATCATCGATACAATTGTGCTGGAACCCCAGGGCCTCCAGTTTGTCTTCCAGAATTTTCACACTGCCTTCGCCACAGGATTCTCTAAAACACAGACCAATATCTTTTAAATAGACAGATTAAAGACGTAGGAAAACGTAGTAAAATCTGTTTCAGTGTCAACCAAAGATCTTTCGACCACTTCCTAATGTTCTTCTTTCAAAGGGAACGTGGAAAATCTTCTGGTTCAGGAACTGTGGCTTCTGGGAAACCTACACAGTCAAGCAGAGCGATGAGGCCGTAGGGTTTGGCAATATTCTCATTCATGCAGTATCAGGACTCTGAAGAATCTGGCCTAGCTCCCCTCTGAAACTTCCGCATGGGCCTAAAACTGGCTGTGTTCTCATCGCCAAGCTTCTGACGAAAATGGCACTATTTAAGCCACGGGGTAGAACGGTTTGCAAACCAGGAGCCAAGAAAGTGGGGAAGTTATCTTAAGGTGCTTGGCAGTGGCGTTCATTCATGAACAAAAAAAAAAAAAAAAAAAAAAAAGAGTTCCACCCTTGCTTATACATAAACTCAGGTAGTTTCTGCGAAGATGGAGCTCCGCAAAGTTTTGGTCCTCACCGCTTAGCCAGCACCTCGTTGCAGAAGTGGTTGCTCTGTGCAGAGCAAAGGCTTCGTCACAGAGCACTGTGCTGATTTTGAAAACCCTGATGAGGGTATTGAGTATTCAAGTGATACAAAAAGAGAAACTGGCGTTGACCTTCACAGATGTGTAAGAAACTCATTTACCCGAAGCTCCCACGCCACTCATAAAGATCAGCATGGCATCTGGCTAGGAATTCCCGACAGTCAGCCTTCGCTCCCAGCCACATTAGAGACAGAAGGCTGGCAGGCCCCTAAAGCTAAGTACAAAGGGGCCCTGATTAGATCATAGCCAAGCAAAGCAAGACCGCACAGCTACCACCCCAAGCCCCATAACTTACACAATGGGTCCCCCAACTTCATGCATGACCCAGATCTCAATTCTTGTGATTTTATCCTTTTGTAAATATGGGATTTCAAAATCTGCAAAAAACCTGGAAGACAGCGAGGACATTGATTTTTTTCTTTGTTCTTCCACGGGGTTGAATGTGTACATGCTAGGCAAGCTCTCTGACATCCAGCCCTGTCTCCAGTCTAGGAGATCATTTTAAATCTTAACACCGCCTGATCGCTCTCCATTTGGGCTGTTAGTTTATTTAGATATTAGTTATTTTAAAAGTTTCTAGGAAAGTCGGGTGTGGTGGCGCACACCTTTGAACCCAGCAGTAGTGAAGTAAAGGTGAGTGGATCTTTTTGAGTTTGAGGCCAGTCTGGTCTGCTTAGTGAATTCCAGGACAACCAGGGCTATTCAGAGAGACCTTGTCTTCCCTCCCTCCAAAAAGGTATCTAGGGTTCCTTTTACATTTTGTGTACATGCCCATGTTTATGTGTGTGAGGGAGCACACTCGTGTGTGTATGTGCCTATGTAAGCCAGAGGACAAAATTGGGGGCTGTCCAGTCTCTCTGGCCTGGAACTGGTCAAGTCGGCTAGGCTGGAACAGAGAGTCTCAAAGATCCGCTTGTCTCTGCTACCCCAGGACTTGGATTACAAATGTGTCATCACCCCTGGATTTTTCGCCTGGGTTCTAGGGATCAGACAGAGACCCTCGTGTTTGCCAGGCAAGCACAACCGCTGACCTATATCCTTCCAGCTGCTCTTCTCACCTCTGTAGTAAATAGGGGAGGAGTCTCGACAGCTCTCCTCTCAGGAGCAGACGCCTGGGAGAGACACCATGCCCCGCTCCCGGGCAGACACACGCCATGAAGCTCCGACCCAGGATGGACTAGGCTAGAATCTCCCCTGTAAGTGCACCTTGGGGTGCTACACACAGATGATTAGAAATGAGCTAAATTAATATGTGAGAATTAGCCTAGAAGAGAATGGGCCAAGCAGTGATTAAAAGAATACAGTTTGTGTGTTGTTATTTCGGAGCATAAGCTAGCTGAGCAGGCGGCCGGGGTGCTGGGAACGCAGCCCCGCCGCCGCTTTATTACTACACACCTCTGCATTTGGATCACCGCTTGTCACTTTGCAGCTCTTAATTAATGGTTCAAGTGTAGAGACCTGGCTCTAATTACCACATTTGCCACATCACTCGACTGTTTCTCTTTACCAGACTTTTAAAAAGCAAGCATTAAATTGGGACTGGGGTCTTGCAGTTCTTACCCTTTCACGGGATAGGCTCCTGTGGGCTCTGAGCCATTCAGCATGACATTGATCACCCCAGAACTGTCTCTTGAATACTGCAAGAGGAAATACACTTTTGAGGAAATGATGTCTCGTGTGTGTGTGTGTGTGTGTGTGTGTGTGTGTGTGTGTGTGTGCTTTTAAAGCAGCTTTAGATTTTCTTTTAAAATTGAAGTTTTCAGTGGGGGGAGGCATTGGCATTTCACAAGGCTAGTAGAGATGCAGATGGTTTCATTTGGAGAAGCAAATCACCTTGGAAGTCCCTACTTGTAGTCCCCCACTCGGTAATCCCCCGTTTGGTACCTTGGGCTAAGGATATGATACGGAATGCATGGCACCCTGTCAGCTAGATTAAACTAGGCTGAGCTGACATGACACACAGACTCCTCGCTGCAGCGGCTTCACAGAAAGATTCACTGTATACTCCCACTGGACATTCACCACAGGCTCTTGATGATTTAGCACTTGATGTTCTCACTATGAGGAAGCCTCCACACCTGCAAAGTTGTTAACTGCCAGGGAGAAGGAAGAGCCGGTGGCCTGGCCTACGAGTCACAAACGTCACTCGCATCTCATTGGCCCATGCAAGTCACATGTAAATAACTGCATGAAAAATAACTGCATGGAGCAGTACAAGCCACAGGTGCAGAAAGTAAGCCAGCTGTCTTTGACAAACAATACCGAGTCCCACCGCAAGCACTGCACACAAGCAAGCACACTGTGGCATGGTTTGCAAGACCAAAACATGCTCACCAGCTTGGCACTGCAAGGGTTTGGTGTACAGTTCCCACTACGTACCAACCTAAAACCAAAGTCTGGGTTATTAACATGTCACTAGCAAGAATCTACAGAGGATATGCAATATCATAGGCAGTGTTTACATTCAAGCAAAGTGCAAGATTATGAACAGAAGATGTGCTTTGCTATAACATAATTGAGCACGGCTGAGGGTGGAGCTCAGACGTGCTGGCACGTGATTGGTCTTGAGTTCAGTTTCTGGTATCAATAAATAAACAATTAAATAAGTGGGTGTCTAGGTAGCCTTGTTCCCAGAGCTCTAGTTCAGCGCACGTAATTTTCCTCTTAAATGATGGTTCTAGAATAAAGGGTAGGTGGTGGTGGATTCCGTGTCACTGAGCCTCACGGGACAGGTTTGCTCACTAATAAGAGGACACCTGATACCATGAGCTCCAAAGCAGAGGCACGTTTTTGTACCATTTGTCTCCAGCTGCTTCCGAAAGGTACGAACAGTAGGAGTTAGGTCTCCAGAGGCTGACATCTGTAACCTCTGTGTTAAAGGGTAGGTAACATTTGGGTGGCAGGAACATCACGGGTGATCTCGCTTGTCTTCCTTGTCATTCTCTATCATGAGCAGGGACAGCACTGACAGTGGGAAAAACCTGGAGAGTGTGGGAACGCATGCAGCAAAGGTATAGCCAACAGTAGCTGAGATTCAGTCTCTGAAGCTGGAGAGATTGTTTGCAAATCCTGCTTCACCTGCTTATTACGATTTTAAACTGTTGCAAAGTCTGTTGCAGTCTTTGTAATGAATGTTCCAAGTCTGAATAAACAGCTACCTCAAAGGATTTTAAAGATGAAATGTTTAAAGTCATAGCTACATTTAGTCTGGAGGTGTAGCTCATGGTAGGACCTTTGCTGGATATGTGCCAAGGCTTAAGTTTGATCCCCAGCACCACAAATAATAATAACAACAATATTTGTTGACTACTTGTGAGGTTCAAGCCGTGTTGTTACTATACTGGATTGGCTTTGCTCCTACTTCAACCACCTAGTATTTTCTAAGGGCTTAAAAATTAGAGGCACCGATACTAGTTTCCAATAATAAAACCCAATTGAAGTATGCACTTTAAAGTTAAGCAGGTTCACAGTGGCATGTTTTACGACTCTTTTTTACGACTCTTTTTTTCTGTGTGTTTTGTTTGTTTGCTTGCTTGCTTTAGAGACTGGGTTTCTTTGTGTAGCCTTGACTGTCCTGGAACTAGCTCTGTCGACCAGACTGGCTCCAACTCACAGAGATCTGCCTCTATCCACCTCAAGTGCAGCTTTAGTACCTATTTGCAGGGTTCTCTCTCTTTTCTAATGATTTATTTATTTTTGTTTTATGTGTTTTATTTTGTTTTATGTCTGTTTTGGGTGTTTTGCCTGCATGTATATGTGAGGGTGTCAGATTGACGAGAGCTGGAGTTACAGACAGTTGTGAGCTGCCATGAGGGTGCTGGGACTTGAGCGTGGGTCCTCTGGGAAAGTTGCCAGTGCTCTTAACTGCTGAGCCATCTCTCCAGCCCCTTACAGTTCTTTTACAGACAGTGTCGGTATGACACCTCTATAGGGGCGTTAAGCCTTCCAGTCTCCAATAAGAAACTTGGGCAGCTACTGGAGCCTGTATTTCAGATGAAGCCCTGGGAAAGCAGGAACAAACACTGCTCCCACTGGAGCTGGCAGGAGCACACAGTCCTCCGCATAAGGCCTGGTGCTTGCAGGGGGTCCTTTGCTTAGCCCTGGTGGAAGGTCCACCTAATTAGTGGACCCACTGAACACCAGGAGAGCAAAGTAGACAGTGGTGATGGGAGGCAAGGACATATCACTTCTGAAAGAGGAGTAGCAGAAGTACCCTGTCCTTTATTTACTTCTTGATCAGCGTGATTGACAGTTAATCATCAGCACTTAGCTATAGACTGAATTCTCGTTATTTCTAATCTTTACTCCAATGCTTGAGGCAGGGAATGTAAGCTATTTATGACATCATGTTTATAGCAACTGACAGCCACCATCAACTCTGTGGCAACATCCTCTGAAATACCTTAGGAACATTTCTGTGGCGCCAGCTTATTGAGAACCTACCGGCTCTTCTGCCATTAATGATACTCTGTGGACATCTCTGATACCCACATCTAAGTCTACGTGCCCCAGGCTCTTCTGTAAAGTAGAGATTGCTCCCATTTTATACAGCACTATGAAGTGCCGTGACTTTGAAGCACTGTATACAATCGCGGTGGGCCAGGAATGCTGACAATGCACTATCCCCACGTATGGCTAACGCTTGCCAAACGTTTTTCTCTGCACCAGCCACTGCATTAAGTATTTTATCTCCTTAAACCATCACATCTTTGTGGGGCAGGGAAAAGGAGTCAGAGAAATCATGACAGTGGAAAGGGAGACTCGCCGAGATGAGGTAGCAGCCTGGGATCCAGTTCATAGAATCCACGCAAGCTCCACCCTCGCTTGCCCTTCCCAGGATTACCTGCATGGATGCCCTCTTCCAATAGGAGTCCACGGCATTGTTTTCACAGTCTTCCGACGTGGGGCAGGACTGATAATCAAGTCCTGGGGGGAAAGTACACAAATGCATTTCATATTGGAAATGCATTAATGTGAAGTATTTGCTAATTCCATATTCGGTATAGGTTCAGAACAATGTGCGCAATGCATTTACTGTCTCAAGCCTCATTTTCCACTCTGGGAAATAAAGAAAGGAAAGTAGAGTCCTGCTGGATTAGACTCATAAATTCTGAGGTCAGATTGTGAGACTACACGGCTTACTGGATTGTACATTCCTAAGCCGTTTCCTTAATCAAGCCATGCCTCAGTTTCCACACTTGCCAAATTAGGGATAATGATAGGATCATAGAGGATAATGCGTGAATTCTGGAATCAATGTGTCTAAATACATGTAACAGCCTACAGCAAAGGTAAGGACACTCTGCCCATCATTATTATCCATTACTATAGATGTCACCTACCTTAGAGGATTTGGGAAGGATTACATGAGATGAACATATATGAAAATAAACAGAGAAAAATGTAGAGCTCAATAAAAATCAATAAAATTAAAAAATATGCCTTTAAAAAGAAAAAAAAGAAACAGCATCAAAGGTAAATTTGCAGGTAGAGTATCCATTCCTTTCTGGCAATGTATGCAAAAGTCTTACCAGAGGCATTCTCCTGTCGACACCAGCTCAGGAAATCTCCAACCTTGCCATACAGAACATCACAGAGGGGCATAAGGCGACGTGCGTTCTCTGCAAAGCTGGTAACCAGTAGGTGGTTATTCTCCCAGAATAGCGACTGGTGAGACCGAACCAGGAGTGAAAATGGGAAAGAAAATGAAAACACGTTGCAGTTGTCACCAAGACAAATCAGCACCCGTTCCTCATGGAACTGGGACCTGCTGCCAGCCTCTGCTTTCTTTCTCCTTGTCGCTACTGCCTGTTTGAAGAGTGCTGCCTCTCTCCTCCCTGTATTGCACACACATGTAGACCAGTGCTTCTCAACCTTCCCAATGCTGCTGCCCTTTCATATAGTCCCACATGTTATAACGATCCCCATGCGTAAATTAATTTCATTGCTGCTTTGTAACTGTAATTTTGCTACTGTTAGGAATCGTAATGTAAATATATTTTGGAGACAGAAGTTTGTGAAACGGGTTGCAACCCACAGTTGAGAACCACTGTCATAGACAGTAATGACATATTTTCCCAGTAGTCTGAAATACGTGTACCACTGGTAAGATCCCTGCATTGAAAAGGATTAAGAGACCAGGGCTGGAAGCCTAGCTTTGACCCGTGCTAGTTGTGTGATTTTGACCACGGCATTTTGCCTCCCTGTGTCTCGGTTTGGAAAATAAAAAGCAGAAGCTTTAGCCTCGTGCTGTAGCTGTGGTTAAGACGGTATGCAATCGTGTGATGCCCTCCCTAGAATGTACAGTGCTTCTAAACACCTCACTATTTACAGCACAGTGGGCTCCTTCCAGGGTAAATCACATCTTCCTCCAGCAGAGGTAACAAGATTCCTGGCGGCTGTCTCATCTGGTCCTCAATAGTCCAGTCTCTTCGTAGACTGGATGGGCTATAAGAACTGTCTTTTTACTTGGTATCTCTAACCCTTAATACAACACCAGGAATGCAGATTTATTGAGTTTATCAACTAGCTCACTAAACCTCAGAGAGATGTACAATTTTAAATTATACAACTGCTTTTTATCAACAAAGAAGCAGAAAATGCAGCATAAACTTAAACATTAGTTCTTGGTCATATCTGAGGTGGTTTCCTTACCTTGTCTCTAGGAAGAGAGTGCCTGGAGAGGTTGATGAAGAGGTCGTAGTCCGAGGGACGCACAGAGCAGGGGTTCTTGTCTAGCACCGCCTTGAAGGCCTCCCAGATGGCTGTGCAGTTTTGGTGCCTGTGCAAAAGTGCCAGTCAGGACTGCGGAGACACTTCAGAAGGTAAGGCTCTTGTGGTGGGAGCATGCGCACCTGAACTCAACGACCCCAACCCCCACCGCCTCCTGTCCATGTGTGGCTGCCTGTACCTCTAACCTCAGCATTGCATGAGGCAGAAACAGGAGGATGACCGGGGCTTGCTGTCTGCCAGGCTAGCTCTGGCTTTGGGACTAGACGCTGATAGAGTCAGAAAATTACAGAGCAGGACACCCAGTGTTCCCCTCTGGCTTCTGTGTGGGCACAGGGACATCACACACACACACACACACACACACACACTGCAAGTTACAAAGAGAAAAACCCAAAGGGCACAAGAATGCACTATGAAGCATTTCCTCTCTGAGAGGAAAAGCAGAGTTCTCCAGTTCTAAGTAGTTTATTTTTTTCCCAGGCTCACAGCATAGGCAGAAAAGGGCACAGGGGAAGCATAGCTATAAACTGACAATTTCTTCCCTTTTCTTTTTTGTTTTGTGTTTTTGTTTGTTTGGTTCTGGGGGGGGGGTTGTTGTTGCTGCTTTGTGTTTTTGAGACAGGGTTTCTCTGAGTAGCCTTGGCTATCCTAGAACTCACTCTGTAGACCAGGCTAGCCCTGAACTCAGAGCTCTACCTGACTCTGCCTTCTGAGGGCTGGGATTAAAGGCAGAAGGTGACAATTTCAATAAACTGTGCAGCCTCTAGTTTTCAGGTGTGTGTGTGTGTGTGTGTGTGTGTGTGTGTGTGTGTGTGTGTTGTGGATGTACTGGGCATGGATCAAGGGTCATGCTGTCAGGTGTTCAACCACTGAGCCACATCTCTTGCTTTTGTCTATTCTTTTAGACACAAGAGGGGTGCCCATTGTTCAGGTCCTTGAGGGTGGGTCTCTGGATCCAGGAGGCCAGGTCAAAAGGAAGACAGAGTAGATGGAAGACAAGGGCTGGGAGTGGCTTCTTCTGCCTCAGCAGAAGGTCCTCCAGGGACTATTTCGCTCCTGGGGTACAAACCACCTTTCGAAATCACTTCCTACACAATGGTCTTTTTTTTTTTCTTCCCAGGTGTGAGAGATGGCTATCCCCACTCCTTAGTGTTCTCTCTCTCTCTCTCTCTCTCTCTCTCTCTCTCTCCCTCCCTCCCTCCTTCCCTCTCCCCCTCCCTCCCTCCCTCCCACCCTCTCCCTTTCTCCATCCCCACTCGTCCTCCCTCTCCACTGAAATTCATAACAATTAAATACACCTGGCACGAGAAAAGGACATTATATCAACTCCAAAAGCGCGTCCAAAGGAGGAAAACATTTCAGTAGGACGCAAGACAGAGGAAACCAGAGTCCTCTAGCCGCTCATCCTAATGACACTCAGCGGCTCTCTCTCCATCCCCTTTCTTCTTCAGTTCAGACAGACACTAAACTTGGGGCATCCTCTGGCAAAAGACACCTCGTGAAGGGGCCCTAAAGGAGATGGGAATTTGAAGGACGTGAGGGTTTCAGGCACAAGAAGAAAAAGGGCGCGGACATCAGCAGTTGCTAGAGACCTCTGTTAGCTGGCGAGGCACAGACACTCAAATTCACCTCTAGACTGGTGTTTGTGATGGCGCGCATACCTCTCTCATCTCTACACTCGCGGGACAGTCTCATCTGCACTCTCCTCCTGGGCCTGGAGATCCCATCTACTCAGGCCCCTATCTCTGAGATTACTTGCATAGAGACCCACAAGTTCCCCTGCCTGACTTTCCAAAGCCCCTCTATCTCCCTTTTCACTTTCTAACTTAGCGCTCACCCGGGCTGGAGACTCAGCAGTGTGGTGTACTCTGCACAGCGACCCAGAAAGATGCTTTGCAAATGCGGCGTGGTGCCGGCCCCGCTCCATCGCGCTGCGGCAGCTCTCGCCCCCAGAAGTAGTGACAGCTGCAGGGACAGCCACAGCCACAGAGACAACGAGCATCCCTGGGCTGCCATCGAGCAGACCGATTCCACCAGTAGGCGACCTCCTGAGCTCCTCCCATTTTGTCTCTGCGGCCTGCGGCGGAGGCGGTTCCCCTTAGTTGACCACTAGCTTCCTGGAAGCTCATCCTAACACCGCTGCAGTCCCGTCCTCCGCGCCCCTCCCCCCAACCCCATTCCCTTTCCTCTTCTGTTCTGACAGACACTAAACATGAGCCACCTCCAGGAGGGAAAAACTTTGCTGGTTTACATGGCAACACCCTTGACGGATGTCCTCTTTCCCAAGGGCCAAACAGGGGTGAATTTTGTTTGTTTTCAGGAGAGAGAGAGAGAGAGAGAGAGAGAGAGAGAGAGAGAGACCACCCATATGTAAGCACCGAGCAACTTAAACTCAGTTCCCGTTCACACTATTCACACTATCCTTCCTAGCTGGGTTTATAATTACCTTCGGTTTCTAGATGAGTAAGCTTGGGAAAGTTAATTTCTCGGCCAGCTCAGTTCCACTCTCAGGTAACCCTCAAGACAGTCTGGAGAGCTGGAGAGAAGAGATTTCCACGTGGAGTGCCAAGTCCTCTGACCTTACTTCAAAAACAGCTGCGAACTCAGACTGTTGGAACAGTACTGAATACACATGAGAGATTGTGTGTGTGTGTGTGTGTGTGTGTGTGTGTGTGTGTGTGTGTACTCGCACGCGCACGGAAGCATCAGTATGTGTAATTTTATTTGAATCCCTTTTTGTTGTACCCAAACCCTATATTCTCCCGTCTAGCTTTTCCTTAAGCAGAAGGTCACACAGTCCAATGACAGGTATTTTCGGTTCTTCAGCATCCGTCCATCTGTCCTCTCCTTCCAGTTCGCTCCCCTAGTTCTAAACAGGTGTATGGGTTGTCTCTATGTGGTTTTGTTTTGGATATCATCTTCTGACTTTCTACTGTGGAAAAGTAGGTTGTATCACCTCCCTCCTTCCCCATCCCTTGTCCCATCCATTCTTTTTTACCTTTCGTCCTCCCAGCAAAGTGTTATCACAGCTCTGTCATATTGCATTATTATGAACTTGTGAACATTGTTCATGGCCGAGTGTATAGTATTTTATTTCCTTAGTGCCAAGAGGTAGAGAATGACTTTTCCTGGACTCATTTTTCCCTACCCTGGGTGGGTATTCTATGCTTCAATGTGCACGGAAGGTCGTAATCCACACTCTGTAAGTCACGCAGATTTTCTCACTCAAAACCAACAGTCATCATCCTTTTTTGGGAATATCCTGCTTCCTTTTCCAAGATGAGTGTGCTGCTTTAGGCTATGTGACTGTCTTCCCAGTGAGCCCTCCCTCTCGGCTGTGGCATGCACTCTCCCCTCTAGATCCCTTTAGAAACACAATTTCTCGTGGCTTCTTGAGAAGATACTAGGAAGTCTCCATGATTTTTACATAACAGAAAATATTACGATTTTACACATCTGATTGAGAATTGAATATGTAGAATTTTAAATTAGAAATAATTTCCCTCCGAAGTTTGAAAACCATTTTCCTTTAATTTATCTGCCATCTCCTGCCCCAGTAGTTTGGGGGATTTTTTTTTTTTATAATATGGAGTTTGAATTTTCAGAGATGAATTTGGGGGATGGCTTTTACTCAGTGTCTTTGTAACCAGTGGAGCCATTCACTACTTTGCTTATTATTTAGTTAATTACTTGGCTATTTATTATTAATTTATGGTACTAATGGAATTAAACCTTAGGCACCACTCATACTAGACAAGTACTCTAACCTTGAGCTATATTCTTAGCCTTCTTTTTGCTTTTCATTTTGAGACACAGTCTCACTAGGTTACCTCCGCTGGCCTTCAAAGCACTGTGTAGCCTGGGTAGGTCCCAAACTAGCTTGGCAGATGCACAGGGACTTCTCAGGCTTGGAAAGGAAGGAAACAGATACTTCTCCAGAGCAACCATAAATAAAAGGCTTTCAGATCTTTAGCTGAGTAAGACTCACTCTGGACTTCAGACATAGAAAAGGGAGGGTGTTTGTGGTGTGTGTATGTGTGCATCCCACTAATGCACCACCAATAGAGATTACATACAGATTTTGCACCCCAAACTGTCTTTCTGTCCCTTTCCCCTTCAGAATGAAACAAGGCTATTCCACTTACATGGTCTCAGTCAGACCATGAAGAGCCCCCTCTCCAGCTGACATGACATTAGAGAACAATTTAGTCCGTCAAAAATATTTTTCCTGGCCCCAAATTGTACTAACAAATACTGAAAATATTTGAGTAACGTTCTACAGTCAGGAAGACTTTTCAAGAACATGAGAGAGAAAAAAGGCTTCAATTGCCTTCAATATTAATAAAAATATGGATATCAAAGATAAAGGCTCAACAAGAAGTAAAGAACATAACAAACTATAACATCTTGGATATATCTAAGTTATCATAAACTGTAGAAATACAAATACTAAAAATACTGTGAGGGAGGGCCCCAAATAAACTGAGGAACATAATTTTGGACCCTGGAAGACAAGAGGTTCTTGTTATATGGTGACAGAAAATTGAGATGGATTTTTTTCTACAATTATACAGGAAACACTTTGTATTTAAAAAATTTGTGCATTTACTTTAGATTTCCAAGACAAGCACTGAAGGTATGGTTCCTTGCTGCCTTAATAAAGTGTAAAATGAAAAAAGAAAAAAACTACTAAAAGCAGAATCAGGAATGATGATTTAGGGGATTTTAAGCCTGCCCAGACTGTGAAAGATGCTGAAATTGAGGTCTACCATGAGGAATACACACTTCGGGGAGCAAAAAGAAGACAGTTGTGTGGCTGGGCATTCTTATTTGGAAATATATATTTAAAACATTTTAAACTGTGCTAAGATATACATAGAATTTACCTTTTTAGCTATCTTTAAGTATGAGCATCATTAACTTAGTGCTTGGTATGTGTGATGGTATACGACCTCCACTGACTCAGGTGTTTGGTGCTTGGCCCATAAGGAGAGGCACAATTAGGAGATGTGGCCTTCTTGGAGTAGGTACATCCTTGTTGGTGTCACTGTGGAGGTGGGCTTTATGATCTCATATATGCTCAAGCCGTAGCCAGTGTTTCAGTTCACTTCCTGTTGCCTGTGGATCAAGGTATAGAACTCGCAGCTCCGACTCCAGCACCATGTCTGCCTTCATGCTGCCATGTCCTACCATGATGATAATGGGCTCAATCTCTGAAACTACCATAAGCCTGTAAGCCAATTCCAATTAAATGTTTTCCTTTATAAGAGTTGGTCATGGTGTCTCTTCCCAGCAATAGAAACCCTAACTAAGACAGGAAGTAAGAAAAAAAAAACCACCCGGACCTACACAGACCCATCTGGCACCACCAGGGCTGGGTAGGCAGAGGATATCCACTGGCTCACTGGGTGCTGCTGGGCCTGGGTGGATGGAGATACCCACAGGCCCACCTGGCTCTGCAAAGACTAGAGAGATAGAGGACACCTGAGATGCTCCCTTCCACAGCCCTGAGGTGTGGGCTCTCAGCAGGAGAAACACTGAAGAGGCCCCCACCCACAGTCACGCAGTGCAGGTAGGGCGGAAGACACCCGAGATACCCCTGCCTGTAGCCATGCAACAGGTGGGGTGGGCGCCACTTCGATGAGCATGTACATGGAGAAATGGTAGAGAAAGAGAAACGGAACAACTTGTGCATAGTGGATATGCGAGGGTGGTGAAGTACAGCCTGATGTGAGCAGCTTATGCTGCCACCTGAGGCCACAGAGTTGCCCTGGCCCATACTACCACCAAGAGCTATGTCTGGGTCTGTGGTCCTGCAGCAACAGAGGTCTGGGTCGATGTCTGTGGCCCCTGTTTCCACCGAAGGCCATGGTGCAGACCCTGGTCTGGGATACCTTTCACCTGGGGCCATGTTGATGTCTGAGAGCTGTGCAGAGCCAGCCCCACCCCTTACAGGCTGGCCTTTGGGAAAGCTGACTCCATCCCTTGCCTGGTCAGTGTGGGAGAGCTGGCCCCACCCCTCACTTTAGCGGAGCAGGAGAGCTGGCCCTGGTGGTGTGGATGTAGGAGAGCGGGTGGGGCGTCCAACTCAATTACCATCAGTTCCAGATTCAGGGCTTTGAGTTGTCCCACGCCAACATCTACCCCTTCTAAGAACTGCTGGAGCATGTGAAGGGGCCAGTCCTGCAGAATCAAAGCGGCTGGATCTCCACAGCACAGGACAGCAACAGAACATCTAAGAGGAGTCCAAGAATGCAGTATTGCTAGTATAGCAGAAGTCAGAGCTCTCAAACCACACCAGTGACTCATTGCAATGAAGAGTTGCAAGTAAAACTTTTTGGGCAAAAGGGCAGACTGAGTGTGACACACCTTGACACCATGGTACACCACAGCTTCCATGGTGAGATATTGTTTTGCTTTCTTCCATTTTTTTTTTAATTTTAATTTTTTCTTTGCGGGAGGTTGCAAGGGCACAGGGTAGATATGGAGGGATAGGGAGATGAGTAGGGTTGGGGTGTATGATATGAAATTTGCAAAAATATCAATAAAGAAGTTTCCGAAAGTCTAGTCCCAACAGTGGATGTTTTGAAGAGTGGGTATGATTCATGCATCCCTCCCACATCTCAGAAAACAAAGACAGTGCAGGGTTGTTGCGGGTCGGTCTACGGAAGCGGCTCTCCTTGCGGCGGAGTGAATCACTGTGACCCACAAAGTGTTTATGGCTGTTAGGCTGAGAAACACGAAGTAGGACTGAAGAAACAAAGAGAAAGAAACTGTTTTAAAGATAGACCTGAAGGGGGGGGGGGCAAGCAGGGAGGAAGGCAGTTGTGCTATCAGAACTCTACAAGCGGGAAACAGACTATTAAGTTCATTCCAGGACAGTTACGTGTGGTACCCTTCATAAAAACTGATGGCTTCGAATGAAGTCACAGGTATAGAGGGCACAGATAAGAATCACAGGCTATTCCTAGACTTTGAGCCTGACGGAGTTTGTCTGGGTAGACTTTGGACGTGAA